AATATTGTGGTCATTGCACAAGTTCCTAGGTTCATTGTCACTGAGATTAGTTCTACCTGCCTCCAAAGGCAAAACACTATTCAAGTGTAACCAGAAGTCGCTAGAAATTAAAAAAGAAAAGCAAACAAATAAAGAAGACTTGACCTTGAGAAGTTCAGAAGAGACCAGCACAGGAAAAGGAAGGAAATAGCACAGATAGAAAGGTATTAATAGGAGCCTAGGGCTGTCACTCAGTGGTACAGTGTTTGCCTAGCATGTGCAAAGGCCCTGGGTTTGATTCTCAGCATTCTACACAGGCTTAGGAAGTGGTAACAAGTCCAGGTATTCTCAACTCTGCTTTGTTCTAAACTTTACTTCATTTCTCCTGATTCTCCTAAGGTCTTGGGAAGCCAATTTCGCATTCACTGCTGTAACTTTGAGAGACTCTGATTCTCTTCTCTATATGGAAAAGTCCCTCCATTTAGCCATCCCTTTGGCGTTTTACAAATGAAACCATCAGTAAGAATCTAAAAGAGGGGCCGGGGATTTAGCTCAGTGGTTCCACCGCTTGCCTCACAAGTGCAAGGTCCCAAGTTCAATCCCCAGTATCAAAAAAAAGAAGAATCTAAAAGAAGCCCAGATCCACATGTACTGAGGCAATGAAGTTCATGAGAATGGATTCTTTTGAAGTCACCCAGGGGTGGTGTGGTTGGTGCAAGGTTCTCAGTTCGTTCACTTCCTTGCTTCCTCCCTGTCTGGGCAGCTGTGCTCCAAGGTCCACCTCGCAGCCTGCCTTCCCTGCCTTGCTCTCCACTGGCCTCCACCTTGAAGGGTGGGCTTGGACAAGAAGTGCACTAGGTGGAAAGTTTGTGGTTCATTGGGCATTCCCAGGTGAAAAAATAAACCAAGACTCCTTAGCTATGCACTGGCATAGTGGGAAAATATGATTTCCCCAAGACTTATTAGGTGCTAGGAATCTCCTGGGGAGGATATTAAGAATCAGATACCTGGAGCCAGACATGCGGAGCACCTCTGTGGTCCCAGCATTCTGGGAGGCTCAGGCAGAGAGGATTGCAAGTTCAAGACCAGCCTGGACAATTTAATGACTTAGTGAGACCCTATCTCAAAATAAAAATTGTTTTAAAGGTGGAGGGGGGGAATGGGGATATAGCTCAGTGCAAAGACCTCAGTTCAATCTCTGATGCTAAACAAACAAACAACCCACAAAAAATCTGTGCTTTTAAACTTTCAAGCCAGATAATTCTCATCACCATCCAATCTGGAAAAACCTAACAGTGGATATTTATTATTTTGTATACCTAAGCTTCTACTCAACAGAGCTCTGTTGTGGCTTGTGTCTAGATGTCCCTCTCAAAGTATCCTGAAGTCATAGGTTGGGCTTTCTCAAAGGTAGCTGAATCTAGAGTGTGTGATTGATTGATGGTGCAATGCTAGGATTAAGGATGCTAGGATTAAGGGTGGGTGATTACTAAATCAGTCCACTGATTGGTTTAGGACCACCCTAGTCCCGGTAGCCTGTATACAATATGAGGGACAGAAAGAGGCTTGTCTTGTCCCTTGCTTGCTTGCTTTGCTACCTTTGGCCCACCATGAACTGTTTCTCCTCTGCAATGCCTATCTACTATCCATCCTGCCTTGGAGACAGCCGATTATGGATTGAAACCTTTACACACTGTGAGCTAAATGAACCTTTCCCCCTTTAACTTTGAGGGTCAGGTATTTTGTCCCAGCAACTAGAAAAGTAACTAAGACAAGCACTTTTTCCCCTCTCAGGGAGGGTAAGAGACAATATTATCATAGTGATTATCAACACAAGCCTTTGGGGTAGGGCTGTGGCTCAGGGACAGACAGCCCTTGCTTGTTGGCATGCACAAAGCCCTGAGTTTGACCCCCTGCTCTGTAAACTACAGCAGCAAATCCACAGGCTTTGGAGTGAGAAATCTGGATTTTATCTGCCAAATACAGTACTGGCTATGTGGCCTTGGGCAGGTTATTTGACCTCTCAGAGCTTTCCCTTATCCATAATGTGGGGATGATATTGCATCTCTCTCACTAAGGATCAAACAAGCTAATGCATATGGAACTGTTAGCCTGATACCTGCTCAGCACCAGGCATGCGCAGTGCAGTGCAGAGAGGCTGTTGTTATTTCCCCACTGAGGAGCCCATCATGGAAATGTGGGTGAATAATGGCTGTAAAAAAGGAAGACTGGCTGAGGATGGTTCCAGGTGGCCACACAGATACACAAGCACATCCAGAGGACACAATGATTCTAGTCAGACACAACTGTGGCTGACTATATTAAACAAAAGGAAGAACATTTCTATCAAAGTCTGGCTTGTGCTGGCTAGGCAGGAATCAACACAGACAGGACTTGGTTAGTTGTAGCTACTCTGGGACGTCATTGTGGGTTAGAAGTAGGAAGATTCCCCACTCTAAGAACAAACTGCAATCCCCTTCCTGTTTGAGTGCCATCTTGTCTCCAAAACAGCTCTTCAAACCTGGAATCAAGCAGGTCTAGATTCAGGTCCCAGCTCTACCCTTGGCCTGCAGTGTGACTGTGGGGGAAATCGCTTAAATCCCCTGAGCCTCAATTTTTTTCTTTTCTTTTCTTTTCTTTTCTTTTCTTTTCATTTCTTTTCTTTTCTTTTCTTTTCTTTCTTTCTTTCTTTCTTTCCCTCCCTCCCTCCCTCTCTCTCTCTCTCTCTCTCTCTCTCTCTCTCGTACCTGGGATAGAAGTCGGGACCTTGTGCTTATGAGGCAGGCTGCGGAACCAGTGAGTCAGTTTTCTTCTCCATACATTCTTAGCTGAGCTTGATGGAGCAGGCCTGCAATCCCAGTTTCCTGGGAGGTTGGGACAGGGAGGATGATCAGTTTGAACCCAATCTGGGCAATTTAGCAACTTAGTAAGACCCGGCCTCAGAATAAAAAATGAAGAAGGCTGGAGATGTAGCTCAGTTCTGAGTTTTAATTCCGATTACTTGGTGGGGGGGGTAACTTCCTTAAAGATTGCTAAAAGAAAATGATTTGAAAAGAAAATGAATGTCATGCAAATAAAAGTTGGTTATTATAATTATCCATCTTTTAAATTTTTATTTATTTTTTGATTCAGGGTCTTGCTATGCTGGCCTCAAGCTCCTGGGCCCAAGTACTCCTCCTGCCTCAGCCTCTCAAGTAGTTGGGACTCCAGGTACATGCTGCTGCACCCTGCTTTAGTATCTGTCTTTAACAAGGGACAGACAAGATCCCTCTGAAGATAACAGATGCCCTTTGCCTTAGTTCCTGCCACTGACTTGGTCCCCAGAATTAACAAGGAGGATCCTGGCTCGGGTATTACTGGCCTCCTGTTCCTCTTGCTCATGCTGTGCCTAGCTATCTCTGGGGGCCCCTGCTATGGTCCTGCTCCCTCTTCCCACAGATCCATGAATTCAGTCCCACAGCATGTTCCAAAAGGACTCTATCCTCTCCCTGTGACACAACTGCCTCCAAACCTTCCCCAGACGCTGGTAAAATTGTTCTCAGCCACTGCTTGCAGGAGAGAACACCTGCTGCACTTGGGTAGGGAAGACAGAGACTGAGGGTGGGAAAGAGGATGGGTAGGAGGGGAGGAGCAGAGGACGCAGAATAGAAGGGGAGAGAGTGGAAATGTGTCATGAGGTTCCTCAAAATCTATGGGTTCTGAATCTCATTTGTGATGAATGGACTCAGATGATTCATTTCCTTTCATTAGCCTCTATTTTTCCGGGGAAGTGCTTGCCTTTGCTTTAAGAGAATAGCATTCAGCGTACCAAATCTAGCTTGAGAGAGCTGTGAGAACATGAAATTACACCTCATGTGGTCTATGAAAGTTATCTTGCTTTCCTTCTGAACAGGATTATTTATTTATTTACTTACTTACTTATTTACTACTTTTTTTTTTTTTAGTACCGGGAATCAACCTCTGGATCTTGCACTTGTGAGGCAGGTGCTGGAATCCCTGAGCTAAATCCCTGGCCCTACTTGCTTATTATTTATTTATTTATTTATTATTTTGGTACCAGGGATCGAACTCAGGTCCTTGTGCTTTCGAGGCAGGCGGTGGAACCACTGAGCTAAATCCCCAGCCCTACTTGTTTATTTTTTGAGACAGGGTCTCACTCTGTATACCAGGCTGGCCTTGAACTCATTGTATAGACCAAGCCGTCCCTAACTTGTGGTAATCTTTCTGTCTCAGCCTCCCAAGAGCTAAGATTATTGGCGAGGGGCCAGGGATTTAGCTTAGTGGTGCTGCTGGTTGCCTTGCAGGAGCAAGGTCCCTAGCTCGATCCCTTCCCCATACAAAAAAAAAGATTATAGGCGTTTGCCACTGGTTAAACAGGATTTAAAAAAAAAATTTTCAGCTCCTGTTTGACTATATTCCTCTAAATGTCACTAACTTGGCAAAGCCAGCAGTTTCTGGTTTCCTGCTCCAGCTCTTTGACCCTAGGCATGCCTCTTAGCTTCCAGGTAAGCATACATTGCCACCCAACATGGTACCCTGAGCTCTAAGTAGAAGTTCCAAGACTGGGGTCTGATTTTGGTTCCTGGTGGGGAACTCGGAAGCCAGAGGGCCTGGAGAGTCATGACCAATGCTCCTTGAAGGCAACAAGTCCCTGACTTACGTAGTAACTGAATTTGAGTTACGGATTTAAAAAAAATTGGCCAAGGCTCAAGACATTCATGCAGAGGTCTGGGCTGACTGGCCTGGGTGGGGCTAGAAATCTGGCCAGGGATGGTGAGGCGGAACTCATGAGGGAGTTTAGGGGGCCAGAGTGGAGGGACCATCGTGGCCAGGGCTTCATGGCGTTGTTAAGACACAGTCTAACCTCAGGGTCCAGCCTCTGGGCCCTTTGCTTTCCATGAGTAAGGGTGCAAGTATGTGGCTTCTCTCCACCCCTTTCCACAGGCCGCTGGGGGCCCTGCAGCCCTGGTACCTCCCCTATCACATTACAGGCCTGACTGTGGCTTTCTTCAGAAGCCATTGTCACCTTTAGCAGAAAGAAAGGGTCCTCAGACCCAAGCCCAAGGAAGCTGTGCAATCGGCGGCGCTCTCTGCCCCCTCCGAGAACTGCAGGGGTCTGTTTGTCACACACTAAGAGGACAAGAAGAGCTCCAGGTCACAAAGAGCAATTGAGGGCGGTAAGTGGGAGTTGGGGCTGTGGGGGCGCGGCACTTGCAGCTGTGTGTTGCAGCTGCTTAATTCCTGGGAGCTGGGAGCCAAACACATAGCATCCTCACTTAACTGGAATTCTGAGGTGGAGTACAGCCTGACCTGATCTTCTGGTCAACGTGGCCAGAATCGGGACTGGAAGGGAAGCACCCAGGGTAGGAGTTATGGTCTACAAAGTCCATCTTGCCACCTCTAGCATCCGGAACTGTGCCTGGCACATAGTAGGCCTGTTGTAAATACTGGAGGAAAGAACGGACACATCACACAGGAGCATGATCTAGTCAATCTGCAAAATGAGGCATAGGCAGGGCAGGTATTGCTGTGTTTTGCAGATAGGAAAGCTGAGTCCAAAAGCATTGAGTGTTTCATCTAACATCATTCAGCTTGGATTGGTCTTTCTGTAGGAATTTCAGTGTAGCTATTCAGGAATACATCCTATGATTCCACATGGACTTCTCTTGGGGTCTAGCTGCAGACAAAATAGCTTTTTGGGGGTCCCACTTCTTGGATGTTGTGTCAAGGCCAAGTTTAGACACTGCTTTTTCCTGCACATGTAGAGGCCTCTGCCTCTATCTGTTAAAGCAGCTACTACATAGGGGCCCCTCCATCATCTCTATCACCACATCTGACTCAGGAGATCTGGATCACTGAGACACAGAAGCAGGGGTTGGTGTCCTTCCTCTTGAAGCCAGGGAAATATGCATTTAGTCTCTTCTCACACCTTCAACAGAAACTTCAGCGAATCTAGACCACAAGGGAAGTTCCTGGAATTCAGTAAGCAACTAACCAGGGACCTCAGAGCAGTGTTTCCCCGAAGAGTTCTCCAAAGCCGGTGGCTGTGTTTCTTTTCAGTACTGTGGATTGAACCCAGGACCTCATGCATGCTAGCCAAGCACACTAGCACTGGGCTACATCCCCAGCTCTTGCAAAATTTTGAGACAGGGTCTTGCTAAATTGCCCAGGCTGGCCTTGAACTTGTGATCCTCCTGCCTCAGCCTCCCAAGTACTTGCACAGTTGTGTACCCCTTCTCTTGGCTTGGAACACCTGACATCACCTAGCTGGACATCTTATATTACTCGGCCCTTTTCTTCACATCATTCCGTCTCTTTATGGAGACAGTGAGCGACGGAGCTTGGGAACAAGGGTCAGAAGCCCTGAGGTCCAGTGCTGACTTTGTCACTCATTCATTCTAGATCTTTTCTTCGCCTCATTTTCTTCACTTGCAAAATAGGAAAAACAAACCCAGTCTGTATCACAAGGCAGTTGTAAGTTCAAAGAGAAGTAGTTGACCTCCAAATGCCTTTAGGCACAAGACAGAACTACTATACAAAAAATAGTAAAGCTACTACTTCTTATGAAAAAAATAGAGAGAGAAGGGGGTACCTTCTGGGGTGCCCCAGAACTCTCTTCTCCTACTCATTCACTGTTTAATTCACCATAAAACACCTACTTGATCGAGACGTGTGGCAAGTGCTGGGTGAGATCCAAAAGTGTCTAAGATGTGTACTTTGGCCCCAAAGAATGAAAAATCTAGACTGCACCAAAAGATGACCAGAGATTTCAGGGAAGTCTGAAGATTGGCAGGGTGGAAAGGGAAGTTCTATGAAGTATCAGAGGCACTAGGATATTCCACCCAGGTGAAGAGGTGGCCAGGGGGAACAGGGGAAAGAAGGGTGTCGAACCGCCTAACGGTCTCTGTCCAGGAGGAAATGAGGTCATCCTGCTCTCAAAGAAGCAGCATGACAGCCTCCAGCCAAGTAATTCGGAGTCATGAGAGCAGCTGGGGCAGTGATGTGAATCATGACAGACTGTTGGGAATTTCCTAATAGCTAACCTAGGAGTTTCAGGGTAAGTCCTCAGGCTGCAACATTTCTGTTTACATTTTGATCACATTCATTTACAATTAATGAGTTCTCAGATCTAAACAAAACTGGCCACAGTCTTCTAGAGGAAGTAGGAAGACAGGTTCTGAGGCCTATGAAAGTTCGGACTCAGTGGTCCCCTGAAGGCTAGCAGGTCAGCAGGCACAGCGCTAACTATGGAGGATGACGGGTCAGTCACCTGCCTCCCCGAAGCTGGATAGTTAACTTGCACTTTCCCCATCCTGGTACCTCTAGCTGGGCCACAGCAAAAGAGCATTCCTCCTGCCCTCCTCCTGGCCTTCCTCTCTTTGCTTTCTGTCTCTCTCAAGTGGGGAGCCAGGCCTAAGGTCTAGGTTTGCAAGGCAGCAAAATGCTATAGGTTTCAGCAAGGCTTGGGTCCTAATGAGATAACGAGGTCGCAGACTCTTTTGCTATGAAGGGAGCCAATCTGCTGGGTGCATTGAAATGACCCCAACCTTAGTGCCTGGCACTAGGGAAAAGGGATAGAAATGACTGAAGTGCAGCATTCTTGCTGTGCTCCTCTAACTGTGCCTGGGTCATGTGCATGTGGACACCCAGATGTGTATGCTTGTCCTTAGGCAGGAAGGGCAAGAGGAGTCATTTACACATGATCTTTCTAGAGGCCAATTTTATTTGAGAAACAATTTTCTTTCTTTCTTTCTTTCTTTCTTTCTTTCTTTCTTTCTTTCTTTCTTTCTTTCTTTCTGTACTGGGGTTTGAACCCGAGGCTGTCACACTGAGCTACATCCTCAACCCTTTTCAACTTTTTTATTATGCATTTATTTATTTATTTTATTTTTGGTACCAAGGATCTAACTCAGGACCTTGCGCTTGCAAGACAGGCAAGCACTACTGAGCTAAATCCCCGGCCCTTCAACTTTTTTATTTTGAGGCAGGGTCTTCTTGCTAAGTCACTAAGTTGCTCAGGGTGGGTTCAAACTTGTAATCTTCCTGCCTCAGCCTCTCAGAGTGCTGAGGTTACAGGGATGTGCCACCACACCATGCCTAAACAATTGTTTTTATCTTAATATAAACAATGCTGTGAGATGAAGTACATACTATATATGTGTGCATATATTCATTTATGTAATTAATTCTTTATTTTTCCTGGGCATCAAGTCCAGGGCATGGCACATGTTAGGCAAACATTCAACCGCTGCTACACCTCCAGCCTAAATGCTTTTAAAAATGTGTACTTATCTTTTCGGGATGGATAAAATAGAGACGTGTTTTTTAAAAAAAAAAAAAACAAAACGAGTTTAAAAGGGCATACATTGAAAAATAAGTCTTCCCCTTATCTTGTCCTCCAGACCCCCAGCTTCTCCACTCGCAGGTGAGAGCAGAACTTCCTATCCTGCCACAATTTAGTCTACATTAATAAGGTTTGACTATTCCACTCTTTATTAACTAACTTGATTATTTCCCAGACAAATGGACTGTTCATTATAGGAACTTCCTAAAAGACCCAATGATACTTCAGTAGGAAGCACCGACAGTTTGTGTCCCCACAATCCTACAATAGCCTATCCAAGCCTCACCAGTCTTTGCGCAGTCCTGTCCTTCCATAGACCGGCCCTGCACCAAAGACTGAATTCAGAGTAAGATCTGGCCTTGCCTTTGCCCCTCGGATAACGACTATTAAACTCTCTTCCTGCGGTGAGCAATAAATCCAGCTCGTCATCCGCCCACGGGCTCTGCGATGATATCTGGGGACACCAGGCAGCCCCTATTAGCAGGTGTTTTTGTGCCTGTCTCAGGGAGTTTGTCCCATCGGTTTTCACGTTGATACAGATGCTATATGAGCTGTGGACTCTGCCCCTGTATGCGTGGGTCTGAATCACTTCCCGAGGTCTGTGGCAGCAAAGGATGGACAGGTTGGAGAACTGATCAGGGGGCTAGAGAGGAGGCTTCAGAGCAAGGATACAGTCTGAAGTCGCCTAGAGCGAGCGTTCTCGATTCTCTGAGATTCCAGGGACGTGCACTGGGGCGGGGTCCAGGGCCAGGGAATGGGAGGAAGAGCGAAGAATTGACCACAAGTCTCTGCTGGTCCCGTTCTCTGGGGATCGGTCACTCACCCCCTACACACACACACACACACACACACACACACACACACACACACACACACAC